TAAATCAATAATTCTTATTCTCCTGTATCGAATTAAAAACGATCGACTTGCTATATTGAGACAGGAGTAACTTATATAAATGTGAGTTTATACATTCTTGCGTTTAGAATAAATGTTCCCTCCATCTTACAACGCACGAGGTTGGCACCAAGATATTCGACAAAAGGCTATCATTTAATTCTAGATTTTAGAATTCTTCGCTTAAGATTAAAATGTTCCTTTCTCTAAAAAAAATATACGATTGTCGCTGTATCGATCCTATTTTATGATACATTTAAGTGTAATAGCGTTGGATCCGGAAAATTTTTTTCTGTGGGTGTAAACTTCTGTGCACGTCGCAGCAGAAACTCGCCTAATGCAGTTTAAAACACACGTTTGCCGGGAACCAAACCGCAGCCGAAATGCATAATCGGCTATAATTGGCGGATTCTCTTCGCGCTGGTGAATTTTCCGCGGATGATCCCGTGCCCGTTGCACGCGCGCGAGAAATTCGCCCGGACGTTTTCACAGGACCCGACAGAGTCCCGCAGGTAAAGGAGGCGAGAGCCGTAGTTTACAAACAGAGACTCGCACGATGTGTACACGGCACGCTGCTCCCCATTATTTTAGGTCGTGGAAACTCTCCTTTCCTATCTGTTTATGGAATCAGCTGCCAGTAACTTCCTCGACGGGCTCACCTGCCGGGGGCAGTGGACAGACCCTCGGAGGTCTCGGGGCCTCAGGGAACTCCGCCGTTTTTTCCCTCGGGACCCCGGGACCGACAAACGAGTCGGCCGATTTTCAATTTGCTCTAAGGGCCCCCCGAGTTTGCCTTTCTGCCTTCTTCAGTGAGTTAAGTAATCCCGGAGGCAAGAGTGACGGTCTTTTCGAGGGCGAGACGGTTGCGTGGGGTTTTTGGAATGCGAAAAATAAATTCAACTGTTACATAGAGAAATGCTAAATTGAACCCGAGCGATCTTCCAGGAGGGGCTGCTGCCTACGAAAATTCCTCCGCTCGCGGCATCCGCCGCGCATCGCGCGTTCCCCATTTACATATGGCACTTAAAATGTACAAGTTTCTATTCGCCGGGATGCTTTTAACGGCGCGGAAAAGCGCAGGGAGGGAAGGAAACGCCTGGGGGAGGGGGGGAAGAGAACTCGTTAAGAGTCTTCGCTCGCACTCTGACCCCGCAAACTCGTTTTCCGAAGACGATATCGCACGCAGACCGGAATAAAGTGCGCGACATCGCAGGGGCGACAGAGCCGATATAATCCGATTTTACGAGACGGCCCCGGCGCGGAAAGAAAGAGAGAGACGGGGAGAGACGAGAGGAAGGGAGATGCTATCGGGCCCCGCGCCGGTCCCAGGCGATATAAACTTAGACGCGAATTAGTGGTGGCCGCGATAGCATCTCATTTCGAGGCGAGCGTGCGATCAGGAATTTATCGAGAAATTAAATTAGGAATTATGCTAATACCCCCATCACCCTATATAGACGGCACCTCATCGAAGTCGACCGCCATGAATGAGCGGCGGCGGCGGCGACGGCGGCGGCGGCGTCACGTTTCCCCGGTTATTTATGCGTTATTTGCGCCATCCAATTAAAAGGCACCTTTCGTAAGACTGCAGCTCTCGTACGGCCGCCTGCAATGTAATTTGCTGGATCGACGTTGCGCGATCCTCGAATTCCGTTTTCAGAATTTCGCGCGGAACGTAGATTGAAAAGGATTCTTTTTTCTTCCAAACTCGAGCTCAACGTGTGCAACATAAAAATTACCTTGTTGTAATAAATTATACGGCCGCGTCTACCGAAAGTCCAAGTGATAGAGTGATAAAAGTTAATTATCTCAATTAAATGTTATTTAATTTGATAATTGAAATTTGCTCGAGAGGAGATTGCGCTTGTACTTTCAATGAAGTAACCGTAGTCGTTGATCCCAATTTTATGGTGCCGGTCGACGCGAGGAAGATAACGGCGGAGGCGCGGTTAGTTTTATTAATCGGCCGGTTCGTAAATAAGATTTACTTCGAAATTCCGCGGCGGTCGCCGAGATCGATTCGTCTCCATTTTTCGTGAGACAACGGCGACTCACGTAGGACCATTCGCAGATAGAATCTCTTCGCATTCCCGGCATTTTTTATAATCCTTGACGTTGATCTCGACACGGGCGACACGAGCATGAACAGAATGTCCGAAATAAAACAATCTGATCTATTGTTTTTATGGTTATCAAGTGTAGTGTTTTAAACGGTGCGAATTGCGGCTGCGAGGCGTTTTATAAAATTGTGTTTCACGTGGAAACTTGAATATAGCGTAAACATTAAGATTATAAAATCCATTTCCATTAATTATTTTCTTAGGTAATGCACGTTTCGCCAAGATCATCGAAGCTGGTCAACGCTCATTCTTCATCTGACCAATCTTCACAGATTTCGCGCAATCTATTACTTTTCACGGTAAAAAGATGCCCGGTTGAATTTGGCATGTTAACATTTACCGTTATAAAAAAAAATACCGAAAAACTAACAGAAGTGAGAAGTGATTTAAGAGATTATCGCAAAGATAGCAAGATGACAAATCGCGCGGAGATAATTATTAATTATTCCCATCGGGGGGTTAAATCGTTGAAGCTTCCAACATTTAAGAGACACACACACTCTCTCTCTCTCTCTCTCTTCTTCTCCTCGATTCCACGTGGTCGTCGAGGAGAGAAAAGAAACGAAGAGAGAAGCGTCGATCCCGGAGACGCGAAGTAAGTGTCACGGCGACGGGGCTTCGAAATAAATGTCTGCTGCACGCGATGAGTCACAAATCCTAATGAAAATAATAATACCCGAAAGATTCCGTTCTTTCGTGGCCGCGCGGCGCAACGAGGATAAATTTACTGCGCGATCTACGGACGGATAAGGCATACCTGGGGACACCTCCGTCCGGTTATAGGTTCCACCATGTAACGGGTGGTACGAAGAAGATCTTTACGATAAACTCGGCCCTACATTGTCTCGATACGTCCGGATCTCGTCTTTACGAGACCTCTTAACCCGCCCTTTTCTGCGATGATGCGAAAACGACGTTCCGGCTAATTCGAAATTGTCGAGAGATTGAGAGACTGTCACAATTGTGACTAGTGAATAATATGAAGAAAAAATGGATCGACGCGATTCTGTATGTTGCCTCAATGTGTATAGAATCTTGCTCTATACTGTTTTGATTAAGACTTACGTCTTTATATAGAGATGTACCTTAATATAAACTTTTTTTGGCTTTAGTTTTCCATACTGTATCAAGTTTACACAAATTATCTCGTCTTCAGAGCAGACAGAGATGACTTTCACATCCACATACCGAAATATTTGGACTTGTCAGAATTCGGATTTAAACCCTTCCGTTCTTACGCTAACAAATATATTGCTAACGTGGAATTAGACTAAATAGCGCGTCAAAAAAATTCAATACGTATACATTGAAAGATATTATATAATGAATCTGAATTGTTTTACGTCATCCTCTTAATTTCACCGAATTAATGTACGTTGGAAATTTCACGGCGATACACCGCGAACTAAACGGAACGTTTATCAGTCGCTCTTCGAGGCTACGATAGCTCGCCGAGAGCTCAGGTATCTCCCGTGCTCCCTTATCACTTCGGTAGTTTCTCTCTCGTACCAAAGACCGGTTCTCGGAAACACCCCGTAGACAAGTGTCGCAGCACTTGCCTTGAACGGTGCGGTATCACCGGTCTCACGTCTAAACGACTTGTAAAACAAGCGCTTAACGATTGCTGGTACCTGGTGGAGATAGACAAAGAGGGAGAGGAAAAGACTGAGAAAGACAGACAGAGAGAAGAGAAGGGGGGGGCTGAGGCAAAAGAGGTAGGCGAAGGGGGTTTGGTCGGGCCCGTAGGTCCCACGTGCTTCGAGGAGGTCCAGGCCGCTAAATTGAGTTTACGAGACGCCGAGAGCGTCTCTCTCGTCTTCTCTTCTCTCATACCCTTTTTTCCCTTCGGCCTCTCTTTCCCTTCCGCTGCGCGCCTCTTTAAAACCGTACCCTGCCTCCCTGCGCTCAGTGCCCGCCCTTAATTCACAAGTACGAAAGAGGCAGGATATACCCTTTTCTCGGTACTTTACGCACCGGCACCGGTGTTATCTTAAGCGATATTATTTCGATTCCCCAGCCTCGCCGATCGGCATTGCCGGTTTATCCGCGAGGAGTTGCATTAAACGTGACGCTCGCGCCTGCGAATGCAATTAAATCGCTCGCCCCCGGGATGTCTTTATAATGGGATGATGAAGAACGTGTTTCTAATGGGGACCGGTGACTAACGCGTATATTAATATTGTATAATCCGCATCACTTTCAACGGCGCGGCTTATCGTTGGTATATTCGATAAAAAAAACTGATCCATTTCTTTTCAAGTAATTACAAACTTCCGAATAGAAGTTAATAATCGCTCTTAATTAGCGATATTCTTGTAACGGGGGATTACGTTTTTAAATGTGCACGGAGAGACCGATATGGTTACCACGTGTCTAATTAGGGTTGGCATAGGCCCAATAAATAGTAATACAATATTTAGGACAGCTATATCTGTGGTTGTCATACCCATAAGTAGTGGAGACAACCACATGCGCCTTGTGCAGCAAACTTAGTGAATGTTGCAACACGAAACAACGTAGATGCTTCCACTATTTATACGGCAACATTTTAATGTTAGTTATTTTTGCCTTAACCGGTCTTCGAGCGAATGCGAATAGAAAAAAAAGAGAAGACAGATGAGAAATACATATTGCGAAAGATTACATTTGGTAATCTTCCACAATATGGTTGATAACTAGCGTAACGACTCTTAAACTGACTAAAATCCTGATATAATTAGCATAAAAGTTTGTTTAAGCCGATTCGCGTCCAATCCGCGCTGTTTCGCCTGCAACGTTTTTGTCCGTTGTAAGAAACGTATATCTTCGCAAAGAAGGACCGCTGTCGTTTTCTGAAAGGCAAACGCTACTTTGTGGTTTCAGTGGCCAGAGGGAGGATAAAACCCACGGCGGGGGTCTCGGGGACTCCAGCAGCGAGAGTGGCGACGAGACGAAGCGGCAGTCCGGCCAGCAGCAACAGCAGCAACAGCCGTCTTCCTGCGCGGTCCAGCAGCAGCAGCAGCAGCAGCAACAAATGGTGGACCATCAGCAAACTTCCGGCATGTACCAGCTTCCACCGCCAGCCTCCGTTTCAGTTTCCAGCCCGCACTCGTATCACCAAGGCCACGGCTCGTCCTTGAGTCACCCGCACATGCAGCACCACGACACGAGCAGTGAGAGCGGCGACGACAAGAGGAATCTCCATCATCAGCTGCAGCATCATCTCCAAGTCGGCACCCACGGCGCCCATGGTTTGGTCCATCCTACCGCCACCTTGCCACCGCCACCGCCTAGCTGCGCCCAACAGAAGAGTCAGCTGGACTACATGCAGTACTATCCGCAGGTAGGACGACGAAATAATCTCGAATGTTTATTCCCAATTCGCGCGCATCGCTTCAGCCTTTTGTAAGGCGAAACGCGCGCGCTCTTTTTCTTTCCTTAACGCTTTCCGCGTTTTCTCGGAGACACGGGGAAAATGTTGTACGACATTGTTCTATAATAACGAAGTGGAAAATTAGGATTCTTGTAATATACGACAGGTAGACGCTAAAAAATATAGGTATTCATATTCGATATCTCGAAAATATGATTCCAGACTCATTCTGAATACTCGCAGATACAAGAATCCAAGAATACAATGTTTTCTATCAGAAACGTTTGTAGTTGACGTAAATCTCTAGTTTCTCGTGACAAAGTGAATTTCTTGTGTAGAAATGAATCGGAGAAATATGAGAATTTAGAAATCTCTTGCCAGTAATAGATAACAATAATGAAGCTTTTTAGTCGACATTAACCGGCCAGTGTTTTAATACAGAAAATGTATCCCTACAGTAGGGAGGTCCAGGTTGACATCCTGGCTGAGGTAATATTTTTCGCAATAAATTTTCTGCGTCAAAACACTGGCCGGTTAACGTCGACGGGAAAGCTTGATTATTAAATATGAGAATTGTCTACGGCAGGACTACTTGATCGGCACGCCGACTTCCGCGGACCTGCAGAAGTCCCTGCCGCACACGGCGACGTCGATGCAGATGGGCGCGATCGCCCCTTCCATGGGGGGATTGAGCCCGATGGGCCCGTCGACGATGCTGTCCAACACCATGCAGAGCGTTAACACCATGAACACCATGTCGATGAACGGCATGGGCATGGGCGCCTATCAAGGCATGAGCTCCATGGGGATGTCCACGTCGCACGCGAGTTACCACAGCGGCCTCGTGCTGGGCGAGTACCATTCGTTGTGACCTTGGGCCCCAAGCACTCAGAGCAAGAGGAGCCAAGAGAAGACTTAATGCACGTTGGCGGGGCGCGAGATTCCCGGTCGATCAAGGTACTCGAGTGGCTTGCCGAAATTCGGATCGTCAATGAATTATTATCGCTGAAGGGAAAACATAACCGCTGAAATTTATTTAACGGAACGTCGTTGATTAATAGAAGTCACCGCTACCTCGGGGCGACGTATAAATTTATCGGCAAGTTTTAATTATTGAATAACGTGAGATTTATTTGCACTGAAAATATCTTTTTCATCGCAACGATAATTTCTTGACGATCCGATAATGTTGAGATAAGTGGGGAGGAAAGCCTTCTGCGGATATATCGTTGCATTCTCCTTGAGCTTTTCTCGGTGTATGTTTAGAGCGTATAAAGAGCGTCAAATAGCCGTCTGTCATATCGTCGCGTTCGCTCCGGCACTCATTGTCAGAACGAGTTTCTTAATTTTTTTTTTGAACGAAATTTTTTCGGGATAAAACCACACGTACGATGAATTGTAGTATTTGCATTCTTTAATGTTAATTTGTTATTTTTCCACTTGAATACCGCTCATCTAAATTTCAAAAAGAGATAAATACATTTACTTAACGTTATTCTAATCTCTGGCCAAGAATGTTTGCTTATCTGTCCGTGAAAACTCTTCAAATATTTTCCCGTAGAAAAATCGTATCTCACTCCAGGAATATCCGTGAAAAATCAAAGGACGCCGAAGCGACGATGACGTTTCCGAACGAAATAGCAAAAGACATATTAGCATTTTACTTTCCCAGTATACTCTCGCGGCAAGCCGGCTAGACCGGCTTGTATTTACCACTATTTCCATAAGTAAACAACGGGCGAAAAATCCCGTCAGCTTTTCTGCCCCGTCACCGTACTTGGCGCCATACTTTTCTGGATTTTGCCCGAGCGGAATAAATTGCACGATGAAACAGCGTTTCTCCTCTTTTTTTTTTTGTTTTACGCGAGGTGCACGCGAAAGACGAACGAACGCAACCTACCCTCTTGCCCCCCACCTCCCCCCGCCCACCCACACTTCATATAGATTCGATTAATTTACTGTAATCAACTATACGCTCCTCTCACGTACGCTTTTGTGTTTGTCCTGTATGTACATATGTATAATACACGCGGCATTCGGCATATTGTTAAGTTAATCTCGTTCTCGTTCGCTGCCTACCGGGTGTTCCCGTATCACCAATTTCGATTCCAGGCAAAGATTTGAAGTTTTAACGCTTCCACGTTCTAACGATTAAAGTACAGTTAATGACATTCTTCGCATTCGATAGTTCGAATCGTTTGATTTAGGTTTTCTTAATTCATATCTTTCCTAGTTCGATTGTATCCTTAAAGGGTGCAATAAAATTCCTGGAAGCAACAGGATCCGAAACGGACAAAATTTTTTTTACGAGATATTTTCTTATCAATTCGCATTCCACAGATGGTTTGTGCGTGTCGGAAAACAATTATTGTTAAAGAAAAGTCGTTATCACAGAAATATGTAGCATCAATTATTTCTAAAAAAAAACGTGATATCGTGTGGTGATTTAATTGACTGGTGATTAAAAGCAGCTGAATGGACGCGAAACTTGAAGGGTACGCCCAGTAGACAGTGAATGCTGTCGCAAGATAAGATAGTGCGTAAATTATCATTTATTCGCAGTTCGCAATCTGTACATAAGTATATCTAAAGACAGTGAGAAAGAGAGAGAGAGAGAGAGAGAGGGAAACCGAGAATGTTATGTGCGCGAAAAAAGGGAATGCAAAGGAAGAGGGGAAAAAAAAGACATTACGCCAGAGTGACAGAGACAGAAAAGTCGAGATATCGAGATGAATTCTTGATTCGTTATTCAAGAGAGGCGCATACAATTAAACCGCTTTCTTGCCAAAGAACAGCTCAAAATTATCTCGTTTATTCCTCGCGACAATCTCTCTTACTTGTTTAACGATAGCCTCTATCCTTTTTGCGACAGAAAGGTAGAATTGAAAATTCTGTGATGCGATTAACACTTTGTTTCTCTTTTCAATTTCATCGCGAAGAACGCACGGAAGGGAAGATTATTTACCAAAGCTTATAAAGTCGCTGTTAAAGCGATTCAGGGGCGCTTACATTCATCTCCAATGTCGACTTTCCATTCGTGAGCTATCTCGCGCGCAGATGTCCTAAATATTCCGTTAGCTACGACATTGCCTTGTAGATTCTTATCTAGGATGTCGAGGAGAGAAAGGATTTCCCTTACGAAAGAGTCCTCGGGACGAAACAGGGTAAAGGATAGTATCGAGGAGAGAAAGAGAGAGACGACGTGGAAAATAATAATATCTTCGATCTATACGGCAGAGCCGATCGGCGTTATTTTACATTTTGTATCCTTCACATTCGTCGTATTCTGTGTATTCGTTAATCCTTACAGAAATAACTCGAAATTTAACTATTTACACGACAATTCATAAGTGCCACATTACGCGTTACAATAGAGAGTATTAACGGCTGATGAAAGAAGAGGTCAACTGTACAATAGTATGTAACACGTGAATCGGTCAGAAAGGGTATACGTGACAAAATCATACGTTTGAGAAAAACGAAAACTTTGTACCAGGAATTTTTCCAGTAGATTTCACACTACTTTGCCCTAAATTAGGAAGCTCGCTAAAGTAATTTTGTTTAAAAAGATTTTTTTAACGTGTCGATTTTACGCAAGGATTTGCCAACTCGGCGAGATAGTGCGTAAATTATCATTTATTCGCACTTTGCAGTCTATAAATGGATACATCTAAAGTGAGAAAGATAGGGAGAATGCACTGTCCTTTCGTTCAAAGTGTCACATGTCCCCTTTCTATTCTCACTGGTTCATATTTCTTTATTAACGGAGGTACAACGGATGAATATACATAATAACACTATTTTCCTGACGCATATTATCTTTTCTCATTATTTGACCGAGTTAAGAGCGATATTTCGCATTCTACAAATTTCTTCTCCTTTAATTATTTCGCGACTTTTATAATAACTTTGTGTTCTCCCTTTAACGAAAACAGTAAACGTCACTCAGCCTTCGAAAGCTCAAGATTAAAGCCAATTACGTGTTGTAGGTCGTGCGTTTTATTAAATTGTTAACTATAAGGATCGATCGAGACACGTCTGTTCATAAATTAACGAGCCACGAATACTTTTTGCAGTCTTGCGCACAGAATACTACACAACAGTTTTAACCGCGTTCTACGTTAGTTGTTGCAGGCGATCAACATTATGCTTTTAAACAGACAAATTTATTTGTAAAATTATGTAAACTGGTTTAAAATGCTTCGGCTAACGGACGCTACAACAACTGGAACTAATTACTAACAGGAATGGCTATCATTTTACTCTCCCGCATTTGAAGCGCTGTTTAAGAGCGTCTACATGACGCAAGTTGTGTTGCACAAACGGGCAGCTTCCGAACGCTCGCGCGACCTTTTCTTTCTTTTCCTTCCGGAAGTTGCTTAATATTCTTGATATATTCCGTCGTTATATATTTCCGAGATATCCTTTCCAAACTTGTAGAATTTTAATCGTAATCGAACACTTTTCTATGAAACGAACGCTGCGATTCGACCAAAGCTAAAGAATTAATTTTTGCGAATAGGATGTTTAATCGTAATCGACTCTTGCACAAATTACGCACTCGCACGCAACTCGCGCATACAAGAAGCAGGCAGAAGGGCAATCGAAAGGGCGAATGAATGAAAGGAGAAAACCGAGCGCGCGCCGCAAGGACGATTAATTAATGGCCGATCGTCTGGTCCTCTCCAGTTCTCATTCGTGTATTTTAGCGGACAAATCTAACGTTGCACAACTAACTGAGACGAATTGCCGAGAGTGATCGTGAGTGCGATTATTCATGAATGTGTGTATCGATGAACGAACTGCGGGCGTGTGTGTACGTGTGTATGTGTACGTGTATGTGTGCACATGAGACTAGAAAGAAAGACGATGATGCGCAAGTAGATATAAGTAAGAGATCATGATGTACGATCGAATTGTAATCGAGTAAAGTTGATGTTATTTAAAGTAACAAGATGCCAGAGAGTGTTATCTACGTACACGTCCCTTTACAGAATCCTGGATCTTCTACTTCACGTTTAGACGCTGCCGAAGCTGGTAAGTAGCGCGCGCGGTCGATGTCTTTGAGGAGACGACTGATCGCAAAACAATTATCAATTTTAAACAAGACGATGACTCAGTTAATTTCGTTATCTTTATGAGAAATGGTAATAGATGTTTTTCGTTGAATATGAAGTCGCGTAAAATATAATTATGTAAAAATCCGAACGCGCGGAGAATAAAATGGAGATTTAAACTCGTACGAATTTCGAAACGATTTCGCTTAATCTTAGGGCCTGAGCAGAATAGCTGTCTTGTATTCTTAAGTCCTCAGACAGTTATTGTGCGTTACTTTAAGACAAAGATGTAAAACACAAAACACTGTCTTACGAGTACAAGACAGCCATTCTGCTCAGGTCCGAGCGTCTCTGTCGCCACGATTGAACTCTCTCTCTCGTGCCGCGGGGAGAAGCTGCGCGAAAATCGCGCGGCGCTGACGCCAGGCGGAGCATCTTTTTTCGAGATTATTTTCAAAATCTCGACGAGAGGCAGTTAGGCGGCCGTAACGAAACGCAGAAGAGTGCGATGTGAAAAAGGCAAGTGTCTGGATCGTTTTTCCCCTCGCTGTTGGTGCGGCGCGCTAACAAGTAGCCATTGTGAGCCCCGTGTCAAGATGCTACTTGACAGTATACTCTCTCGACGGACCCTCTTCAGGCCCACTCGCCCCCGTTCCGCCACGCCGCACAACTGGGCGTATGCCGCACGTATGTACACGCATACGCACGCACGCACCTCTGTGGGGTCCGTGCTTAACTTTACGATCTCCGAAAATCCCTCAGGGCCCCGTCGCGCGCGGCTAATAGAACCGAAATTATAACAGGCCGATGAGCATGCGTCGACTGCTCTTATTCCGCCTCGCTGACGGATTCAGAAGGGAAAGAGAATTGGGAATCAACGCAAGGAAACCGTGAAAAATTTCATTCCGGTGGATGTCTTATTTACGAGCTTCTCAGGCGATAACTTGGGGTCGTCGAGAAATTAACATCGTTTGTATATATTTATAATTTTCCTCTCGCTCGGTTTACTGCCTTTGGTAAATCGGTGAAAAATTTTTTTCTTCGCTCCGTTTCACGGCACGCTTTTACAGTGCTTATCGTTAAAAAAAAAGGATTTTTCAAGAATTGCGTACTTTGCAAGTATATACTTGCGATCTGATGATTATTGTCGCCGACGAAAACCCGATATGACGATTCGAGAGTTAAGAATGTTAATTAAGTCAACAATTACATACGTAAGACAAGTAGCGTCAACGCAGCCGCGCTCTTACGTTCGATCGAATTTAGTTTGCGATCATCGCGGTGATAAGAATAGAAGCGAGTACAAAGGAGCCTCCGGTCACGTGGAGAAGCCAGATGCTCTTTTTCAGGATCGCAGAGGATATTGTTCGAACTGCGCTGGTAAATATCGACACAAAGGGGAGGTTGAAGATCTTATCCGTCATCGCGATCGTTGATAGGCCTAATAGCGTGCCGAAGGACGGTCGTTTTGAAATAATTACCAGTTCGTATCCCCAGCACCGATCTTTCCGGGTTCATCCAGCTAAATCGGATCAAAGGACGGCGCTCTCCTCGCCGCCTTTTTTTCTCTCGCGAAATGCCGTTATAAAAAGATCGAGATTGTCGGACATTCGCACTTGGTTCATCCTTTTCCCCGGCGAGAATGGAAAGCGCACGGGACCTCTTCCGAGGGATAATTCGAAACCGTGAAAAGTATCCCAAACTACTTGATTGTCTACTTTTCAGCTGAGCGTTTATAAGTGAAGAGTGCTCGGGCGCGGAGCCTACCCGATCCAAGCCTCTCTTCACCTTCCGGGGCGCATCCCCGTTACGGCGAATAATAAGTTTGATACCGTTACAATGCGATCATTACACGCC